CCCAGACCCTTGATCTAGCCAGACACCGGACAATGGAGGGCTGGCTAACCTGTGAAGGTGGCCACTAGGGGGAGGTGGGGCTGAGGCCAGAGTGGCATGTGTTGGGACCTCAGAGCTTTGTGGTCAGCAGAGTTGCTGACTCACACCCGGAAACCCAACCTCGGGCCAGCAGGGCTGGGCTGCCAAGCCTGGCTTCTGACTGCTTGACCAAGGGAGATCCGGCTGACTTTGCCTGCTCAGAACTGGCTGGGCCAGGGCAGGTACCGCTGCCACCACCAAGGTGAAACAGAGCCTCATTCCCTTGGCCAGGATGGGGGGCATTGGACCCCAGCCCTTGCCATGGCCACCTGCCATTAAGGTTCACCAGGATGGACTTTTCCATCTGCCAGCATCCCAGGTACCCCCAGCTAGTGATTTGCTGCTTCTGTTTCTGCTCCAAGGTCTTGTGGTTCTCAAGAAAATTCTTTGGACCCAGATTACGTAATGGGACAAGGAGACCACCCTGATGCCCACCTGTCTACTTCCCAAGACAGCACTAAAGCCCACTGCCAATCCTGAACAAAACAAAGGCAGCCTGCACTCAGACATGGCTGCCGGGCTGGAGACAGGGCCCAGTCAGTCAAACAAGTTTCTGTACAAGTACAAAGGCCTGAGTTGGATCCCCCCAAAAAGCTGGGAGTATGCCTGTAGCTGCAGCACTGGAGGTGGAGGCAGGGGCCTGCCTAGGACTCACTGGCCAGCCAGACTATGCAAAGTGGCAAGATACACATACAGTGAGAGACTCTGTCTCAAAAAATAAGGTGGAGAGCAAGAGAGGAAGAGACTCAAGGTTGACCTCTGGTGTCCACATGTGCACACGCCCCCACCTCCACAAGTGCACATACTTACACAAGTACACACACACAAGCACACACACAAGTACACACACAAGTACACACACAAGTACACACACACACAATACACACACACACAAGTACACACACACACAAGCACACACACAAGCACACACACAAGTACACAATACAAGTACACACACAAGTACTCACACAAGTACACACACACACAAGTACACACACACAAGTACACACACACACGCACACACACACACACACAAACACAGAGGCGAAAACATCTTGGTTGGTGGGACAGTGTCAAGTATGCGTCATGACAACAGCAAGAAGCTCAACGCCTGGCAAGAATAAGGTTCCTCAGAACACTGAGAGTGGCCAGATGAGGAAGAAGAAGAGTCCATACAACAGCATCCACACCTGCAAGGCTGGCAGCATTCATGATGGAAAAAATTCCAAGTGGCACTTCCCCGTGGGACTTCCACTCCATGGCTGATGCACAGGGAGCATTTGTCCTTCTGGCTGACAGAATTTGAAATGGCCAGTTTTTCAGGCACTGAGCATCAGGCCACCATGACAGCCACCATGCCCAGTTTATGCTGAGCTGAGGATGGAGCCCAGGGCTTTGTGCATCCTAGGCAAGCACTCCACAGTCACAGTCATACCTCATACCTCCTTTGAGTCAGGGTCTCTCCTGGAAAGAGACCTGGAGCACCAGGTCAGCTAGACTGGATGGCCAGGGAGCCCCAGAGCTATCCGCTTGTCTCTGCCTCCTCAGTGCTGTATTTAATGCGTTTTCTGGGGGGGATCAAACTCAGTTCCTCAAGTTCGTGAGGCAATCACTGTATCAGCTGAGCCCAGCCCAGAAGGAATTCTTTGAAGGAGCTCTAGCAGAAACAAAACTAGGAACCTATAGGCCAAGGAAGCTCAGTGAACACAGGGCACCAGAGTCAAGAAGGGAGCCTTGAGATGGCACATGAACACAAAAGAAGCCTGCAATAGAGAGAGACTCCAGGGTAAAGGAACTTGGTCACCTGGAGTATGCTTGTCCTTATGACTGTTGTCATGGTAACAGGAGCCAACAGAGTGTAGATGGAGCTTATGTCTGTATAAGAAGTTCTGTGTGGGTTCTCAGGCACTCAGCAAGAGGTCTGAGGTTTGGACACTAGTGGGTGCAGGGCCCGGGTGGAAGAAAATGTTTATAGATGTTTGAACTTTAACCTGCTCTCAAAATCAATGTGAAGAGGAGTGACTTCTAATGCAGCTTTCATTCCTTATCACTAAGAGGAGCGGTGTCTTCCCTTTTATCCCTCCAATACCAAGAACTGAACCTGGGATCTCTGTGTGACAGTCAAGGGCTCTAACACTGAGCCCCAGAGGCACAGGGTGTCTTTTTAGGTTGCTGTAAATCCTGGGGGATCATTGGCAGAGGTTGCACAGTTATGTAAATGTACTGACCTAAACATTCCCAAAGAGCAAAAAGTTTATGGTGTGTGGATTATGTTTCAGCAAGAAATACATGAGTTAAAATGAACAAACACATCTGTAATGAACAATGCTACATTTGGTTTCAGCCCTGTGAGAACGGTGGCCATCAGGAAAAGCACAGCAAATGCAGGCCAGGATGTGGGGGAAGAACCTTCTTTCACTGCTCAGAGTGTAAACCAGAGCTACAGAAGCCAGTGTGTAAGAGGGGAGACTCTGGATACCACACTCCTGTAATGCCTCAGTTTGCTAATCTGGAGAGTGCTGGGATGGTCCTATTTCTGTCCTCTGCATATTTTTGAAAGGAACTCTGGCTTCTCATCACAGAATGCTGCTAGCCAGTCAGTCCACTGATATCCTCAGGCTCCACTCAGCAGTTCTAGTCTCCCCCACTTTCTCTTTCTCTTTCTCCACAGAATTAACTCCCATAAGCTTCTGAACTATACAAACCATTTAAGAATTTATGCCTTCTCTGGAACAACTCAGGGCAGAAATGTTGACAGTCGGCACACAGGCCTGCGATGTGAGCGCACCAAGTTTGTGTTTGAAAAGGGGAGGTCTGGCTCTCCTGACAACCATCAGTGTCAGACTCAGAGCTAGCAGGAGGTCCAGTCACAGTCTCCACACATGTCGGCCATGAAAACCATGAGAAAATAGCACAGGCCACTCCCAAGGTAGGCAGGAAATGAGCAGGGGGTGTGTTTGATGTGTGAAGGGCTCCTCGGCATTGAGGTGGGGTGGGGTCCAAGGCTGAGTCTGTTTTCTCCTGCTGAAAGTCACTTCCTAAATGAAGCCATAAGTGCAGAGGGGCAGGATGCTGCCAGCTGTGTGCCTGGGCTGGAGAAGGCTGAGTTTCCAGGTCATTGTCTGGGTCACATGACCTTACTTGTTTGTCTTACAGTGCCCTGGGTTCTCCGCCTAGGAAGGACAATAATGCCTTTGTCATTGGGCAACTATGTCCACCCAGAGGATAGGCATATGGATTCTTATTCTTCTGGTCATGTCCGTCATGACCCCCTGAGCTTCTTCACACTCTTGACCACAACCTGTAACTGGTTTCCTGTGAACAGGTTGCTGTCCAGCTCTCTCCTAAGAGAACCATCCTTGTCCATTGCTGCCTCCTCACCCCGTGCCAGGCACAAAGCTAGCATTCAGTGACGGATTCAGTAAGGGAACATAAATGTGTGAATGAATGGAGAGACAGCTGGACTGAGAATGCACGGTGTCCCCTGTTCAGCCTCTTCAGTGCAGAGGCCCCAGTCAGCAAGTGTGGTTTCTATCTGCAGAGCTAAGGATTGGTCCAAATGCAAGCTCAAGTTCATGTCCTTGGTGAACCTTTATTACCAACAATGGTCCCCTCCTCATTGGCTTTCAGGGATGGGCACAACAGCTGCCACCCTCCAGGGGAACTCAGAGGTCACTGGCAGGATGATAGGGGACACCCCACCCCACCAAGGAGACAAATTTTTTCCCACTGAATTTGAGATAATATCTGAAGTTCTTGCCCTGACACTAGTCAAACTGGCCATTCCCTTGACCCCTCAGCTTCTTCTGCGAAATGGGCACACTTACTACTGCAGTACTTCAGAGAGTGGTGATGGCTGTATGCCACCCCCACATGACACCAACTGGGTGCTGGGACAAGGAGGAACAAGGGACAAAGTAGGATCATTTGCCCGGCTGTGACTGCACCCATTTTGTACACATATCCTAAAGACATTTGTACAGCCCTTAATGAAACAAGCAAAACACAGACAATAGAGTGGCCACACTTCCCAGTAGCTGTTTTAAATAAAAGCACACTCACCCTTGTGCCTGCCCAGTCACCATCCTGTTTTTCCTGGTGCTATTTTTCAGACCCTATGGTTTATAGGGGGAAAAGCACCAGGATGAATGTTCCTGGAGTCATTGCAACTATACTCCTGCTCTGTGCATCAGGACCAAGAGCCGCCTGGGACACCAAGCAGAGAAGGAGCCAAGGGCCAGAGTGGGGGAAGTGAGCCCAGCAGATCCACTCCTTCAGTCATGTGGGGGCTGCAGGAACACCTACTGGGCACCTGGAACTAGAGCCTACTTTTCTGCATGCCTTTTATTCCCTGGATCGCCTTTCTCTGTGTCTTAGCAATGGACTTATTTGATCCATCACACTTAGAATACAAGTCAACACGGTTGCATGGACCGCAGGTTCCTACTCCCTCCCTGAGGCTCCCTTCTCAGGGACCTTCTCAGTCTGTCCCAGTGTCACCATTATGTTCTGTTCCTTAAACACATCTACATATTTTGCCCATTCTCTCTGTTGGAGATGTTCTTTCTGGTGTGTGTCTAGCTAGAGCCACCTCACCCTTGTCTTTGTCCAGTGTCACAGTTGGTTCCCTCTATCCACTGGTCTCTCAGATGCTTGTCAACTCTATGTCAATACCATGATGCTTCATTTTGCTCAGCTGTTTTGGCAGGACTACCCAATTATCTGCTGGCCTGTGTATCCCATCTCTGCCCTGGGCCATGGGATTGCCCCCAGGGCAGAATTCACATTTTGCCCTTCACTTAAGATGGAGCCTGGCACACAGTAGGCACTTTGGAAGTCTGCTGAGTGGGTGAATGGATGGATGGACAACCACCCTGGGGTGCCCCCAGACAGTGGCAGGAAGGGCCAGACACCACACTCACTGTGCACTGGGTAGGCGTATGGGCTCTGTCCAGCAGGCGCGGTGCTGAAGCTTGGTCCGTAGCTCAGGAAGCCACCCTGGCTGGGGGAATGGTTCAAACTGTCTTCTGTCTTGATACCTTGGAAGGAGACAGAAGCATCGAACACATGGCTAGAACCCTTCCCCGTCATCCACAGAAGAGCCACCAAGTTAAGACAGTGTTCTCATCAGTTTCTAAATCAGAATTCACTTTAGTGCTAAAGTCAGTACAAGCTTGGTGTGTGTGTGTGTGTGTGTGTGTGTGTGTGTGTGTACATGCAAATGCAAGCATGTGTGTATTTTTGAGACTAGGTCTCATGCACCCTGGGCTTGCCTTAAATTCACTACACAGCAGGAATGATTTTGAACTTCTGACCCTCCTGCCTTCCCTTCCCAAATGCCACACTCTGTATATTCAGTGCTGGGGTGGAACCTAGGATGCTATGTATGCTGGGGGAGCCCTATACCGCTGAGCTCCAGTCCCACCCCTGACTGCTGGGATTACCAGTGTGTATTGCCATGCCCAGCTCTCACACACATTTGTGTGCATGGAAGTGGGGGCTCTGAAGCCATCTGCCCCTTCTCTGAGCATTTCCCCTTCTTTACATTGGATTAGTTTCTGGGGATGGGCCTGGCCCCAGTTATGCAGGGACATGTGGCTCACAGTAGCCATCTAGACCACTCCATCCCCTCTGCTCTGGAGTCTGGGTCAGGGATAGGGTGGAGCCTAGTCAGAGGGAACCCTGGGACTTCAGGGAGGTATCCTAGGCAGGAAAGGCTCTCTTGGGGTACTTGCAGCTTAGAAGTGCTTAGTGCACACCTGCCACTGTGGTGGAAGAATCTGTAGACACTGAAGCCCACACACAAGGAACCAGCTGATTCCTGATCTCATTTGAACACTCAGGTCCCTGCCTGAAGCCAGTGACATAACACTTCTCCGTTCAGAGGTGTTGATGGTCAAAGCCGCCAAAGCACCCTTTTCAGTTTCTCCCACCTTACCTGACTTCAAGAGAACTGTCCCTCTCTATACTTAACCTGTGACCATGGTCTCTTTCCCTGGTGTGAAACATTGTAACATGACCCAGTTTGGCCAATGAGGACCAACATGAACTCCTTTGGAGAGTGCTGAGAAGAGCAATCTCTTTCTGCCAGGAATATTGACATCCAAAGATCAAAGTTGGCAGGCACTGTCTGTGTCTCCACATGGAGACACCCTCTGTGGGCATGAAGACCACTCAGAAGAAAGCATCCAAAGATGGATCAAACTTCCCATGAGCTCACTGTAGATGATGTGTGAATGTGTGCACGTGTGGAGGTCAGATGACAGCTTGTAGAGTTGGGGTTTCTCCCACCTATGGCTTGTAGAGTTGGGGTTTCTCCCACCTATGGCTTGTAGAGTTGGGGTTCCCCATCTATGGCTTGTAGAGTTGGGGTTTCCCCCACCTATGGCTTGTAGAGTTGGGGCTCCCCATCTATGGCTTGTAGAGTTGGGGTTTCCCCCACCTATGGCTTGTAGAGTTGGGAGTTTCCCCCATCTATCCTTAAGTGGCTTCCAGGGATAAAACTCAGGTTGTCAGACATGTGTATCAAGCCTGAGACATCTCATCAGACCCTCACGATGTCACTGGAGCACGTGGCTGGCTCCAGACATACATGACGACAACTGCATTCCCAGATGTGATAGTACATGAATCAACTAACTTCTAATTTTCCCCAAACCAGAATGGGTTAGGGTTATGATTCTTGCAACTGAAAGAGGCTTGCTGACATAGTCTGGAAGCAATCCAAGCCATGCTTCAGCCATGCTCTCCCCCCCTTTACCTCCAAGCCCAAACGAGTCCAGCTACATTTATGATCCTGCACTGAGGCATGAAGGGACCACATTGTTGGAGCTTCCAGGGGGTGCAAGGGCGTGCTTGGTACTCACTGTAAGGGGGGATCCCATAAGCTTGTGCTGGAGGTGGGTACGCTGTATAGGGTGGCGCCTGCTGGATGCCTGCGCTGTACTGTGTTTGGCCATAGGCTGCCATGGCTGCGGAGCACTGACCAGGAGAGACACACGGGTGAGGCCTGGTGGAAGGAGAGATGGTTAAGTCTCCCAGTCCAGCCCAGCATCTTCCCCAGGATCCTGGGACCACCATTATTTTTTCCTTGGGCGTTATGCTTTCTCAAGCAAAGGAAACATTTGTGCACATCACATCTCAAGTTTTCTTTCCCTGGGAACCAAGGCGTGTTTCCTATCTTCTGTTCAGTCAGATTCCACCATGGGTCAGGGCTCCATCCTTCTCCTCTCTTTGTATAGCAATGGAGAAGTCATTTGTGGTAGCAAAGCTGCAACCCAGAGATGCTGGGTTCCACGGTTAGCCAGCATAGTCGAGCCTTTTAGAGAGTTCTACAAGATCCACATCAGACTTTGTGTGGGAAACAGGAAGCCTTGTTGTAGGACCTCCAGGGTGATTCATTACTATGGTCAGCTTAACCACCCATCTCTTTTGCGTGTGTGCAGGTGTGCACATATGTCTGCGTACACATGAAGGCTGCAGGCTGACACCTGGGATCTCCCATTGTCATTCCTCACCTTAGTGTTTGAGGCAGTGTCCCTCCTAACCTCAGAGCTCACTGGTTTGGTGGCCTGGCTGGCCAATGAGCTCCAGGGATCTTCCTGACGCCATCTCCCCAACACTGGAGTTACTGACATAAGAGACCAGGCCAGGGTCCCACTGTCACCTGGACTTTGTATGACCATCACCAGAGAATGACCCTTTGTCTACCATGCCATTTCAGTTGGTGACAAACAGCTGGCATTTCCCTTCCCATTGCATGCCCAGACACCAGTCCAGGTCATTTTCAAGCGGTCCAGCGAAGCCTCCAGTTCTGACGACACTGGAGGTTCTTAGTTTTCACCTTGAGGAGACTGGCTCTGGGACACTCATTAACCCGCAAAGCTCATGGACTGGCATGGACCCAGAGGCCACACACAGAATGCCTTCACTCTACTTAATTCTCTAGATCCACGTCTGGCTGAACGTGACCCCACGTGTTTACTCTCTCAGCTTGGGCCTCTAGGAACATGGCTGGGACTCCTCGTATCACTTCAGTTAAAATCTGTCCACTTTGAATGTATCTTTTAGGCAGACACGAAACCCTCTGGGTTCTCTGGGTCTGAAGCCTCAGGGCAGGTGTGAGTTGACTATAAAAGGGTGCAGGGTCACAAACAGATGTGACCTTGCTTTGCAGAAGGCTCTACTTCCCATAAGGGAATCCTTTGGGGGACTTACGCCTGGGGACACCAGGCTGGGATCTAGAAAGGGCTTCACCAGCCACTGTGGAAGCCTGTGGTATAGTCAGTGGGTCTGTAAGGCGGGACTTCCTGCTGAACTGAGGCCCCTATTTGACAGTGTTCTTGGGTCACATCTTGCCTTCTCTATAGAAGTTCAAGGTGGGAAGCCAAGCCTGTCCACTCCAGTGTCCCGCCACAGCCCGCTGAAGAGACTTGGATTGAACCGGGGCTCAAGTAAAAAACCCAGAGAAATGGGGGCTGGGGCAATGGTTCAGGGGTAAACAATGGGGCTCTGAGTCCTGATCCCCAGGACCATGGACAAAGCCAGGCTCCGAGAAACACATCTGCAATTCTACCATGGGGAAGGCAGAGCATGAAACACAGTTGTGATCCTACCACGGGGGAGGCAGGGGTAGGAGCTCACTGCCCCAGCTGAATCTATGTGCTCCAGGCTCAGTGAGAGACTCTGACTCAAAAACTAAAGTGGAGAGGGACTGAGGGAAACACCCACTGTGGACGTCTGGCCTCTGCATGAATGCACCTGCACTCACACATGTATACCCACTGAACATACACACACATAACACATAATACACACATAACACAGTGTAACATACACATATACACACCCCGCCCCGCCCTCCCACATCACACACACCTCACATATTGCACACGTACCCCCCCCACATTCACAAGAACACACAGATACACACCCCACTCACATGAACACACACACACTGTTATCTAACCCCCCCCCCCCCCCCCCCCATCCCCCCCCCCCCTCCAATTGCCCCCGTCCCCCCCCCACATTCACAAGAACACACACATACAACACCCACTCACATGAACACACACACACTGTTATCTAACCCCCCCCCCGCCCCAGAAAGGACAGTGGCACTCTCCAACCTGAGGAAACAGTCCAGGAGGTTTTACTGGGCTCAGTGGCTGCCAGTGCCACACCTCTTCTGATGGAGAAGCAGCCTGAGCCAGTGCCCTCATCAGAGCTCTGTGGCACGCAGAGGGGGGTTTATGGCCAGGTCTAACCTGGTCTCTGTGCTCAGCTCCCAGGGCTGGACTGGAGCTTGCCTAGGGAAGGTTCTGGTACCCAATGCTTCTGGGCTTCTGGACCCTGGCTGATCTTATGGTGGGACACTCATGCCACCAGGAGAGGAGCCCAGGCTCTGTCTCCTCACTAGCCTGGGCTTCTGAGGCAGGGCTGTGTCCCCTCCTCTCTCATCCTAGGGCTCATATGGCTTTGGGAATGAGGAGTCCTGGGTGAATGTCAGAGCAGAAGACAGGAACAAGGAGGCAGGGAGATGGGGGGCATCAGGAAGAGGGAAAGGAGGGGGACAGAGGCAGGGGAGGAGAAAGGAGGGAGGGGAGGGAGACAGAGAGAGGCAGGGGAGGAGAAAGGAGGGAGGGGGAGGAGTTTAAACAGGGAAAGGAAAGAATGGGAAAAGAGTAAACTCCAGAAAGAAGGAAACAGCAGGTGACACCCAGAACCACTCTAAGCACTCCATTCATCTACTTTGTGGGGCAGGCCACTGGCTGTCCACTTTCCTAGATGGGAAACCAAGATTCAGGCAGTCAGATTATCTGTGCAAGGCCATCTAGCTGTGTCCATGCTGGCATCCCTATTTGGGGAAATAGGGAAACAGCTCCAGAGCACCCCCACCCCCACCCCAGCCACCAACCTCTGAAGAAGAGAAAAGGGAGTAAGATAAAGGGGGCGTGGCCAGAGTACTCACTTCACAAAGAGCTGAGGCACACTCAGAGAGGCCGATTTAGTGACGCCTGCAGATAAAGAAACACATGAAGGTTTAGCTACTACTGAGGCATGTTCAGCGCAAACTGTGGCTTCAGAGGGACTTGTATAGGGAGCAACTTCGAAAGTTGCTGCTGCTGGGGACTTTCTCTCTACCGCAGAAGTTTCTGGGAGGCAGGGCACTCTCCTGGCAGTGGGCTCACAGCCCCTCTCTGGTGCACCTGCTTTTCAGGGACAGCAGGAGAGCAGGCACAGAGAACACACATGGGACACATCTAGGAACACCACGCAGAACCCACGCCCCACATGCAGCCCAGAAGGGGAAACAGGCCAGAGATGGAAGGTTTGTGCCCGAGAGGTCACATGGCCACAGGAGGCAACCAAGAGCTGCAGGATGAAGACACAGACTGGTTCTAACCATATGACTTGTCCCCATCTTCATTCTCCCCTTCTCCCTTCCCTCCTCCTCCATCTCCTTCCCCTTCCTCCCCTCCCCTCCTCTTCTCCCTTCTCTTCCTCCTCCTCCTCTTCCTCCTCCCTTTCCTTCCCTCCCCACTCCATTCTTCCCCTACTTGCTCCTCTCCTTCCTCTTCTCGGGCAGGTGCAAGTCTGGACACCTGCAGAGACCAGAGGACAACCTCAGGTGTCATTCCTCTGGAACGCTTCACTTTGGGTTTTGAGTCAGGGTCTCCCATTGGCCAAGGGACAAGCCCACTTCAGTAGGCTGCCTCACGAGCAGGTCCCAAGGGACCCTCCTGATTCCACCTCTCCAGTGCTAGGATTACACATGCAGACCACCGTGCCCAGGATTGTTACATAGGTTCTGGGGGTGAAATTCAGGTCTTTATCCTTCTGTGGCAATTGCTTCTTAGACGGAGCCTTCTCCCCAGCCTGGACATCACCTGATGGCTTCACCTTCCTGTCCCTCTCTAACTCTAGTTGGTGGGGTTCAGGTCAGGCTAGCTCCAGAACATCCAAGGAAGGCACTTCTTAGCTCTCCCCTGAGGCCCTGACATAAATGTTTCATATTGCATTCCTAGACACCTGCTAAGGTCACAGACTTAGCTGGGAGCTGTTTTCTAGGGTGTAATTGATCTGGGTGGTTCCCTGGGGAGTATTTTTGTGCCTCGTCATTTCAAATAAAACCACTCCATGTCTTCAAGCAGCCCGGGTGAATTCCGGATGGAGACAGGATGCTCCCATTCACCAAGTTACCCTTCAAGTCCCCTGACTCTGAGCCTCTCTCCAACTCCCTCACCTCACTCTGAGACTTGGCAGCCTCCTCTACCTCCAGCCTCAGAAACTTCTCCCACACACATCCCATATGCTGATAACACCCATCTGTTACCCAGCATTCCCCATGTGCCAAGCTTCCCTCGAATAACTTTCTCTGCATTAATGATTTTAATGCCCAGGTGAAGAGCCGGGGCCTGGAGGGTCTGAATAACTCACTCAGGGCCTATGATTCGAACCCTGGTGGCCCAGCCCTACAGTCTGTCTCAACCAAGTCTGTCTTAGCCAAGAGACAGCCATCAGCATAATTGCAGCAAACACTCCCTCAGGAGCAACTGTGAGCCAGACCCACTGACTTAGACATAGGATCTCATTTAATCCTTACCATGGGGTAATAGGACCACAACACAGACAAGGCCACCCTCCTCCCATCCTCTGTCCAGAAGCTCCGTAAAACTGAATGTGTCTGAACTGAATGTGAACCCAAGGGTCACATGAGCCTGATCTCTCTAGTCAAGTCCCTAGACAAACTGCTGTGTCTCCTTTTACTGCTTAGAGTCACAGCTGAGCTTAGACACAGAACTGTCTGCTTGACTACACACACAGTGTCAGCATTATTGATCATGGTAAAAAGGACCAGGGATCAGCGTGTGTGTGTGTGTGTGTGTGTGTGTGTGTGTTCACGCACATGCATGGTGTGATAGCACAAAGTATATTCTTTACACACCACACTTAAAAACCAAACTCAATGTCAAGGAAAGTTCTGGCACCTCCTTGGTGCCTCCTGATACTTCCCTTGTTCCTGAGGTCTTTGCTCCAGGCAGGCCCCACATGGCCCCCTTTCTTGGTCTTTGGTTCCTGGGACCAAGTACCACTTGTGTCTGAAGCAGCCAGTCTCACTGTTGGTAAAAGCTCAAGTGTGCAGAGCAAATTCAGAAACCATTGAGTTAAACACTTTTAATGCTTTCATTAATAAATATGCAAGTACTCACGAAAATGGAACCCACGGAAACAACATCCCTATGGACTCCAGTTCACTTGCTGTTTCAGGCATTCGAAGTGAGCGTCTTTCCTTCTGGTTGCCAAGGAGTGATTGGCATGGTGGCTTTGCTCAGTATTATGGCTTCCTCATCAGCTCCCCGAACCCTTTAGACACCTGTCTTTCCCCTTTCCGCACAGCCAGGCCTCCCTCCTCCAGGGCTCCTCACATCTGCAGTCACCACCCAGCCAGGGGAATAGATGGGGGGGGGGCACTTGGGAGTGCCGAGTGCTTTTTCTCTTGCAGACTATTCTTTTGAAAAATAGTTTTTAACCTCTTGCCTCCTGTACCACATTTAAAGTTTGCCATCATGGGACACACCAGGGATGGAGAAGGTGGGGCAGGTTCCCCTACCCCTTCCCTTGTTTCTCCTGGATAGAACGGGATATTCTTCCTTGATAGTCAGCCTGTGTCTAGGGATGGTGGGACTGGGGTGGGACTCCATGTAGGCCAGAAACTCTGGATGTAGCAGGAAGGAAGCCAGGTCCTCCCCAGGGACAGAACAGAGCTCCCAGTCCCCCCAAACTGTGCTCCTCCTGCTCTGTGACTGCTAGTCTTTGGAAGGAATTCAGATCAATGGTCACTCTGCATTTTGTTGTAGCCAATGTTCAGGAAGTGGTTTGATAAAAAGGGTCACTGTGGGTGAGACTAACCCCAGAGTGGCAGCCGTAGACGCAGGCAATGCTGTGACACTCTAACAAGAGATGGTGTGGCCTCAGCGAAGCTTTGGGTGCCCTTCCCAACTGGGGTGCCTGTTCCATCACTTCTGCCATTTTTTTTCTTTTTTAAAAGAAAAAAAATTTGTCTTATTTGTGTTTCTTGGTCTGTGAGTGCATGGGGCACATTGACAAACAGATACCTCTTTTGCCCCTGGAAGTAGTGTTCTGAGAGAGCAGAGGTGGTTGAGAAACACGTCTCAGAGTATGATTTAGGGGGTCATAAATACGTGCTTCTCTGTGAAACCATCACAAGTTAATCTTAATGCATGTTAAGAGTATAACGAAGCGATAGAAGTCAAACTTTTCTAAAGCTGGTTTGAGTTGTTCTCTTACAGGGAATTTATTTTCACCTCCAGAGTCACAGAGAAACCCTGTCTTGAAAAAAAAAAAGAAAGCAGGTTGATGTTTTTCTTTTTCTCTTTTTTTCCCTAAAGGAAAATTAGTAGCAGTCGGCATAGCAAGAGGCAGCCAGAACACAGGGCAGACACGGGCTGCAGAGGGAGTGTGTGAACTATGGTGGAATCCCCAGCAGTTGGCGTCCTTGTTCCTAGAGTGGGTTATGGAGCATCCTCGGTACCCACAGCGGCCTCCGGGAAGCAGCCAGGATGCCCAGAAAAGGAGCAGAAAGAAGGTTGTGTTCCTTGGGTCAGCACCCAGCCCTCTAGCTTCAGGTTGGAGCTGGCCAGAGTAACACTGGAAAACTCAGTCAGAGATAGGAGTAGGCAGGAAGTCAGAGAGCCGGGCACCTGCTCCCGGGTGGGCTCACCTCCTCTGAAACTGGGTTATGGCTGAAACTTTTCAGGAAGCACCTGTGCTTTAAAAAGGGAATCTTCCCCTTGGCTTCTTGGTATCGGTAACTTTTACCTCCTCCTCCCAGAAAGCAGGATATAACTCAGATCCAACCATCCCTTGAGTAGGAATGAAGGAAGGAGCCCGCCGTGAGTGACACCATCCCTAAGCAAATGATCCCTGGCTGTATTAACAAGGTCAGCCAAGCATGAGCCTAGGAGCGAGCCAGAGCGTGAGTCACCAAGCAATGTTTCGCCATGCCTTCTGCTTCAAGTTCTTGCCCCGATTTCCCTCTATGATGGACTGTCACCAGGAAGTAAGTATAAGCCAAACAAACTCTCTGCCTACCTCCCTCCCCCGACAAGTTGCTTTGGGTTAGAGGGCTTTTATCACAGTAACAGAAAAGCAGCAGAGACAGAAAACAATACCAAGATGTTGCTGTGGGATTTTATGCCTTTGGAGTATTCTTTTGGAAGTCTGTGGAGGACTTTGGGATTTAAGCTGGGGAAAATGGTTCCGTGTTCGGAGGTTAATGGAATGTTCTGTGGGAGTCTGGATGCTAAGAATGCAATGAGAAGTATGAATGGTGGAGAGCAGACTCTGAGGGTTCAGAGGGAAGTAAGGTCTTCATCTGTGCCATTTGTGTGATATTTTGAATTAACAACCCATGGTTGCTGCTCAGTTGAGGTTGAAGAACCATCCACGATTAATGAGAGACCAGCTCACTGAGGTAAATAAAGTTCTCTCTGTGTTTCACTGGGACAATGGAAAGTATTTCCTCATGGTGTCACCTAGAAGCTAATGTTCCAGTGGCCCCTGAACTTGAAAATGTATAAGAGTCCCCATGTGGCACTGGTTTTAAAGGCATGAATGCTACATGACTAAAGGAGTCACGGAGTGCAGCTGAGGCCTGGCACTGTGTGGTAGGACTGCAGTTTCTGAAGAGAGGCCATAGGTGAGCGTGCAGCCTCAGCTCCACTGGAGCCTCCACACTGGAGATGCTGGGAGTGCTCATTGCCTACATGAGCACTTGAGACAGACAAGCTTGGTGTGGAGCTGACCTCAGACTGCGAGACAAGCCATGTGTGCTGCAAATGACCGAGCCTGAGAAGCGGGGCTGCCCAAGCTCTTCAGAGTTGAGCTCCAAATGTCAGACACAGCGCTACAGAATTTGGATTCACATTGCTGGATTTAGTTCTGCTTGGATCTGATTGTCCATAGGCCCCAGCTCTTCCCTTTTGGAATAAGAAAGTATGCAAAGTCTTGTAAGAGACTTTGGATTTTAAAAGGGGCTTTGGACTTTTAAAGTGTTGAAAAATTTAAAGACTGGTGCTTTTAAAGCTGTGTGACCTTGTCTGTTTATGACAGCAAATAAGCAGACAAGTCAGGAGGTCTGAGTAAGGAAGATGAAGTGAAAATAAGGAAGATGGAGATATTTGGCGGATTGATTTCTCTAAGTCCGATCTGGAATGACTGCTGTCTTCCCAGGATTTTAAGAGAATTTCAACACTTACAAAAAATATTTATATTGTTAACAATAAGTTTACTACCAACCTTCAGAATAACTTAAAGGTGAATAATAAAATACCACTAAAGAAAAAAAGTTGTATGATCTTTTACAATATAACATTAACATAAGGTCTTGGGGACAAGGTATTGAAAGGTTATAGTTTAAAAGTGATATGTTTGTGGGTCAAATTGACAAGTGTCAAGAGTGTCCTAGTTAGCTTTAAATTTCAATTTGACATAGCCTAGAGTCAACTGAGAGAAAACCTCAACTGATACCAAGGAATTGCCTAGATGGGCCTATGGGAATGTCTATGGGAGATTGTCTTGATTATTAATTGATACAGGAGGGTGATGGGGAATGTACTGTGTATGTTTATCTTATTGATTGTTAAATAAAATACCGTTTGGCCAATGAGACAGCAAGTTAGACGGGACTGGGAGTCAAAGAGGATTCTGGGAAATGTAGTAGAGAAGTGGTGATCCAGGCAGGAAATGACATAGCAAGGAGACTCATATTTAAGCAAAAGAGAAACAGGAAGGGTCCCCCTTTTCCCTTCCTCCACCAGCGGCAGGATATGAGCCACTGGCAAGGAGGGACACCAATAAGGCATCCGATAAGATAAGTCTTATAAAATATATAGGTTTATGATAGTTAAGACTGAGCTAACAGATGAGAATCCTAGTCATTGGCCAAGCAGCATTGTACCTAATACAAGTTTCTGTGTATTCATTTGGGCCTAACTCGGGCGGGCGGCTGGCATAAAGCGCGCATGTGGCAGTGGGGCTCGGCGGCTTTTGGTGGAAAGATTTATCATAACAGGAGGGCCCAACACACTGTGGGTGTCACCATCCCAAGGCAGGTGGTCCTGGAATGTATAAGAAGGCTAGCTGGTAGCATGCATGTGTGGTTTGTTCAACTAGTGCACAAAAGCAGAGACGAGGCCTGCAAGGGCCTGTCTTCGTTTACAACCAGAGCTCATAGTTCAGAATGAGTTTTGATACACACAAGAAGGACTACAACACACAAGATAGCTCGAAGGGAGCATGGTGTTGATGGTGAGATTGGTTGGTTTATAAGTTTAAAGAATAGGCAATGAGAAAACCAAGACATACGAATCACCATGTAATTTTCACGTGATAAATGAATATAATATAGTAAAGCTAGCTGAGCGTGAGTCTAGGAGGAAGCCAGACAGCAGCATTCGTCTGTGGTTTCTGCTCTGAGATATTGCCCTGACTTTCCTCAATGGCGGACTGAGACCCAGAAGTATAAGCCAATTAAGCTCTTTCCTCCCCTCAGTCGCTTTGGTCAGAGTGTTTTTACCAGAGCAACAGAGATGAAACTAGAATAGAATCCAAGAGGAGGTTGCCATGACCTGAGCCTTAGGGAGGCAACAAACCTGGGCAGGGGAAGCTAAGAAAATTGTATTTGTGGTTCAAAGCTAATATTGACTTGAAATTAGCTCATCCCTCAAGATCTGCATCCATGCTTCAAAACACACAACCACCTACCCATCTATGCAACCACTCACCCATATATCAACCCAACCACCCAAGAACTCATCTACCCACCACCCACCTATCTCTCTATCCGCCTCTCTGTCCACCCATATACTCACCCACCCACCTGCTCACCTATTCATCCATCCGTATTTTTTAAGGTCTTCTATAAGCCAGGCACTGAGCTGTATACTAAATAGGAAGGGGATTTAAATGCATATGTAGGAATGCAGAGTTGTCACTGGTAGACTCTAGGCAAATGCTATACTGCCAAGCTATGTTCCCAGCCCTTTACCTTGAGGTAGGTGCTCTACCACTGAGCCACACCCTCAGCCCGCAGTTCAAAATTACCACCAAATGTTTGCTGTGGTAGTGAAAGAGAAGGAGGAGAGGAGGAAGCCAGATTCACAGGACCTGGCTGGGAATGCACCCCAAAATGACCCTGTTCTGTGGTAATGTCAGCATTTCTTGGAACCAGAGATGAGGAAGGGCCTGCCACAGAGTCAGTTCTAAGGAACACTGAAGATGAAGGGGAGGGACAGGGACTTATCTAAGGGACAACTGCCTCTCTGCTGCTGCCAGGTTCCTCTTGCAGCTGAAGGAGTCAGGGGAAAGTAGATTTGATGTACACTCTCCCTATGTTTCACAAAGCCATCAACTATGTACAACTTACCATTAAGGCCAAACAAAGGACTGGCCCAGGGCCAGACTCCCACCCTGCCTCTGATCCCTGTGGTTATTTGACTCAGAGGGTGACAATGGTCTACTTAATCATTTACCATGCCCCCGGGGTGGGACAGGCCTGCCACACACCATAACCTCATTTAATCCCTTGTACGGCACTCTACAGAGTGGTCCATTAGCACAGCCCATTCAACAGGGCTGGAAACTAAGACTTAGAAAGATTGCATGGCTGGGGAGTGGCTGGGCTGGGAGTCAGACCTGGATGCCCCACACCCACAGCCCAGACCCTTGCCATGCTGACTTGGAAACACAGTAGGAAATTGGCCTGGGCATCTACCCAGAGAGAAAACTATGAAGGTCTTTGACCCTTCAGAGGGTCATTTTCACAGATGCTTGTAGATGCCAGGTGTGCCTCCCTCCCACCATCCAGTCCTGGTCTCAGAGCCCACACCCTTGCAGTGAAGATTTTGAACAGGGTTGCCTAATGTCATAACCAGCATGCAAGGGCAATGCCATTCATCGTCTTGGTGACAGAATAATTACTCAGGGAAACCTGGATTTTCTCTCAAAAAGTTCCTTGTGATGTTGCTTTGCATTGGACACATGACCTTTTGGTTACTTGTGACAGTCCTGTCACATTCCTGTCCGATGATCTGGCATCACACAGGGACCATGAAAGAGAACAAGGGGGACCCGAAGACACCACTGGCAGCGAATCCCTGGGCACACTGCTGGGGAAAGGGTTAAGCCTAATGCTTCAGTGTGATAGCTTAATGCCTTCAGCTCACCTCAGGCTCTACCAGGAAGGCTGACAATCCCAGCAGAGCAAACAATAGCTTGGATTGTTCTAGAGAAAACTAGTCTGGCAGCATCATTTGCCAATAATTTCCTAACAGCTTTAACTGTCTTCTGCTTCCTTGACTTCAACCCAACCTGAAAGCAACAGCAGACAAGGCCTCGTCTTGGGCACAGAAGCCTGTGAACCTGACTCCTGCTGGGAAGAGGTGATGGCAGGAGGGAGCTGAGGGACAGAGATGAAGACCCAACAGGTCATACCTTTGGTAGGGTTAGGAATGCACCCAGGGCGACTGTCCTTCATAGCAAATGTCAGGGTTTCTCGGAACCAGAGACCAAGAAGGGCAGCTAGGGCAAGACCGAGTACACCTGTCCCTTGAATGATGGACAAGACTGTGATCCATGTGCACCCAACTTCTGTTCTAGAACCATCAGTGGGAATGTCAGGTTCTGGGAATGGTACCATGGGAACCTCTACCTGTCACAAATGAACAAGGCCCTCTTAACTCGTCCAGTCAAGTTTTTGCAGAGGCCTACCTTCTCTGTCACTCAGAGCCCCCACAGCGGCGTTGTCTTCACTCCACGTCAGGGATTCCTTGCAGTCACTGCTTGCTGCGAGGCTGGGTGAGATCACCACTTCTAACATCGCCTTGTACCTGAGTGGAGACAAAGGGAAATTAATTTATTCATTATTATTCATGTTTGCTAATGAATCATCTTTTCCCCCTAAGAATGTAAATATTAAAAGCTGATTACCTATTCCTAACCTTCTAATAGATTCCATATAATACAAATTCACAAACTTTTAGTCAAAATGGAAATGAAGTCCTTGCCCCTAGAGAGCACGCCCACTCCATCTAAACACCCCTCCTGTGCTTGGAATTTCCCATTAGAGGTATTGTGTTTTGGTCTCTCTTCTGGATTGCCTTTGAACTGGGGAGACATCCCAGGAGAGGAAGGGGTGACAGGGTAGGGGGAAGGATTGGTATTTCAACTCCCATAGACTAGAGGAGCTGGGCAAGGGCACTTAGAGTTGGCTGTGGTAGCAAAGTGGGCAGTATGCTGTTTGTACAGGTGGAAAATGGCATAGAAGACAGTCACAGAATTTCACAAGTGCCTCTAGGATGGGGCCTGGTGCCATACCTCTGTAATCCTAGCTACTCGAGATGCTGAAGTAAAAGAATCCTAAGTTCAATACCAGCCTGGGCTACAGAGCACATTCAAGGCCAGCCTGGGCTACTTTGTGAGACCGTGCTGCAAAATGAAAAGTAAAGAGAGGTCTAGAGAGCAGGTGCTTGCCTTACACATGTGAGGCCTTGGGTTCCATCCCTGGGACCCGAGTGTCTCTAGGTGGTATGCCCCACAGCCCAGAGCAGCTGCCCCTTCCAAGAAAGCAAGCTCTGAGGCTGGAACTGCTCCAGATTTTGACATGTCACAGGGTTGGGGGTGGGAGTGTGTGCGTGGGGGAACACAAGGTGTCATGGGGTTTCATTTTTCATTGACACATCTCATGCTGGCGCTGTAACTGTAGTTGCTCCTAAGTGCCTGTATGTTATGACTGGGAAACAGGGCTGCCAGCTAATGTTCACAGCATGCGGGGTAGCCGTGCTCAATGGCCTAGACTTAACTCACAATACTCATTACTGAGTGCCACGTCAAACAGTAACAGGCAACACCTACTGAACATTTCTTAAGCTGAGGCCATCAGGGCATGGCCAGTTACCACGACACTGATGGGACACACCATGGCAGGACCAGGTCCAACACAGAAACATCATGGATTCAACTCTCTCTAGTTCTGATACTTGCAGACTTGAATCAAAGAGATGGAGACCATTAAAATGCATCTGTGTTAAGACCATGGTGCAGGTTAAGAGGCAAGGTATAGAACGGACGAGCTTGAGGCAGCCGCCCAAGTGCCCATGCGTCCCACAAGACTGGGCTTTGGCAGACAGCATGCTCAGATAATGTCTCTTAGGCAGCCATAACAAGGACTGGGTGGAAGCCCATGCAGCATAGCGACAGATGGCCAGAGTCCAGCAAAGAGGCAGAAGGGTGCCATGGGAGGACAAAGAGTCTATGAAGCCCTAGACCCACAAGTCAGGATTGTACACTTAAGATGTATGAGGTCAAAGGAGAGCAGCATGGGCTGCAGAGGAGGCTCAGGAGTTGGGAGCATGTATTTCCCTTGTTGAGGCCCCAGGCCTGGTGCTTAGCACCCAGTAGCAAGGGCGGGAGAGGAGGCTCAGGGGTTGGGAGCATGTACTGCCCTTGTTGAGGCCCCAGGCCTGGTGCTTACACCCACATCAGGAGGCTGTGGCCAACAGTCAGTTCTAGGGATCCGACTCTCTGGCTTCTTTTGACACTGGTCCATACAAATGCACATAATTGTTTTTAATAACTAAAACACAACAAAACAGACAGATACACGAAAACCAGAATTGTGGATGGGAATGATAAAATGTGATCTCTTGAGGCAAGCTGGGAAGGAGAGAGGCTAGAAGCCGGGAAGGGGACCCTGGAAGTTCAGCCAGATCTAGGTTTCAGCTGGAGCAATGCCCCCGGCCCCAGGTCAACTCCAGCCTGTCTCCTCCTCCAACCTGTGAGCTAAGAATAGCTCCCAATTTTTCACATTTCTTTCTTTGTAGTGTTAGAGATTGGACCCAGGGCCTTGCAATGTTCAACAAGTGTTCTACCACTGAGTCATGCCCCCAGCCCAGGCTGTCATATTTTCAAAGGGTTGGGAAAAATCCAAAGAAGGACACCACTCCCCAACAAGTGAGTACAACGTAAAACCCAACTGTCAGTGGCCATGAGTAAAATTCCAACAGGCTTCAACCTACCGTCATATCCACGGTTACTGTTCCACTACAGCCTCGGGGTATAGTCCTCTAAGAGAGGCTGTGGGTGGATCCCTAAAGCTGAAGCTATTTAATATCTGGGAGAAAAAAGCTTGTAGCAGGCTTTTTTTTGGGGGGGGGCAACAACCTGCTCCTAAATCATGACACAGAGACTTATTATTAGTTATGAATGCTCAGCCTAGCTTAGGCTTGTTTCTGGTGAGCTCTTTTAACTTCAATTAAGCTGTTTCTCTTTGTCTACATTTTGCCTCGGGGCTTCTAACTTTTCTTTCCTTCTGTATACCTTACTTTCACTGCTTCTCACGTCTGCTGGCTGGTGCCAGGCTTCTTGCCCTGAGTGTACCTTCCTCTTTCTCCCTCATTCTCTTTTTCCTTCTCCCTTTTCCTCTTCCCATTTATTCTCCCTGCCCACCAGCCCCACCTATCCTTTCTCCTACCTAGCTATTGGCTGTTCAGCTCTTTATTAGACCAATCAGGTGCCTTAGGCAGGCAAGGTGAAACAAATGCAACACGCCTTTACAGAATTAAACCCACACATCCTTACATCGATAAACAAATGTAGCCCACCTTTACGCAGTTAAAGCAATATTCCACAGTAGAAACAAATATAACACGTCTTTGCCCAGTTAAAGAAATATTCCATGGCGAAAGCTTATCAACTGTGAAGTAGTCTTCAAGCAAGGTTGTGGCTACACCATTGTTCTATGGTTTCCTATACTCCTGTATGCCTGAGGCGAGTTTTCACAGTGTGTGGTGTATGCATGCATGTGTGTGAGGGCACATTCACCTGAACAGGTGCAGCTGGGAACATAGACTGATGCTGGATGTCTTCCCTCAGCCACTTGTCTACCTTAATTTTTCCAGACAGCATCTCTCACCGAGGCTACAGATGGCTGTTTGGTTAGTCTGTCTGGATGACAAGCCCCCAGGTACCCCGGTCTCCTCTCCCAGACACTGGGGTTACAGCTGTGGGCCATGATATGCAGCTTTTGATGTGGGTGCTAGGGATTCGAACTCAGGTCCTCATGCCCTTAGAGCAGACACTCTACCTGCAGAACCACACCCCTCAGCCTGAAAGTGCTTTATATAAAGTTTTTAAACTGGTGAGAGACTCCCACACAAATTAAATGGGCTCTTGGGACTTTACATGAACAGAAAATTATTGGTCCTCTTGTTCCCCCCCACACAGGCATCTTAAGTGTCCATCTCCTTGTTCCCAAATTGCCACAGGCACTGCAGGGTGGAGGTTTGAATGTCTCCTTCCTTTAGCCCTGAAGGGTGGATTGTGCCCTCTGCAGCAGCAGACTTCAAATCTGTCACCTGATTGTAGGTGAAAGAAATTTACACTAAACCTCCATCACTTCTTTCTTTTTCCAGGGTGTCAGGAGATAACAACTTTAAAAGAAAGAAGATGCAAAGACCTTGGTCCCCAAATGTCACCTGCTTGTCTCAGTGTGGCATTCAGAGGCTGAGGCTGCTAGTGAAACTGTCAAACCCAGTTTATAAGCAGCATGAATAACGTTCTCCCTGGTACTTAGAAGTAGCTGGAAGAGTTTAACAAGACAACACTGCATGACAACCTAGGCTCATGCCTTCTCTTGGAAATGAGAGGATAACACCATGATTTTGCTTGGCAACTACAGCTGGAGCCAAACAGCCAAGGCCCAGACCAGTCAAGGCACAGGGCTGGCATTTGCCAAAGATTGTACCATGTTTGACTCTTGTCCCCTCTTTTTCGTATTTACTCTTCTCTCGGGTCCCCACAGTCATTTGCTCTGGAGAGCCCAGGCATATGTATTTTCAGAACAGAGCAGAGAGACACCCCCAACCTCTGTCACATGACTTAGGGATTTTACACAGTTCTGCTGGCACTCCTAAGAGCCTCCTCATATCTGAATGTCCTTACTACGACACTCTGTTGGGTGTGTGTCCTGGAGCCTCTGCTATGGGACAGAAGGAAAGTCATTGAAATCTGGTGGATTTTATGTGCTTTCCCAACTAAGCTGTCAAAGGCTTGGAAATCAATTTTGTTTTCCCCATAGGACCCAACACAGTATCTTGTCATTCTGTTACCCCGTTAACACCTGCTGGAGGGAAGAAGGAAGAGTGAGGGAGAGTGACAAAAAAAGCTGGGAAGGTAAAGTGCCTCCTGCATGAGGACCTGAGTTCAAATCCCAGCACCACGTAAAAACATGAGCATGGTGGCACATGCCTGTAATCTCAGGTTGGGAAGAAAAAACCAGGAGGATCTCTGGCCAAACACTTCAGGCTGATCAGTGAGCCTCAGGTCCCAGTGAGAAAGACTGTCTCAAAAACTAAGGCTAGTGCCCTAGAAGCAACACGCACACACAAATAGTCAGTTCAAGGCTAGCCTGGGATAGACAAAATCCTGTGTCAATTTAAAAAATAAAAGGAAGAAATCCATACTTAGTAACCAGCATCTTTCGATTGGACCAAACCCTTTCCTTCTTCCCTTCATTCCCCACCAGACTCTGGACAATGACTCTAATCTCTAATGTATGAGATATGTAAATATGGTCGTCATTGTAGACATCACTGTGCCATCTTAGGGTGGCACCTGCTCTAATTTACAGGCTTGTTAGTATTTTTATGAAAGACTCAATTATTCACATATTTTATGTTTATGAGTGCTTTGTCTTCATGCACACCACAAGGAATCTGATTTCATTACAGATGGTTGTGAGCCACTATGTGGTTACTGGGAATTGAACTCAGGACTTTTGGAGGAGCAGTTAGGTTCTCTTAAAAACTGAGCCATCTCTCC